GGAGTATTATGGGCTGGGGCACGCCTATGGTAGGACGGAGGTCTGCGCGACACGCGCCTCAGCCCCAGGCGGAGCTCCTACCTGCAGCGCGGCGCAGCCAGGTTCCCTCCTCCATGAGCCGAGGCTCTCCAGCTACGGCTCCCGCGGTCAGTTTCCTCCGCAGCGCTAGCTCACCCACCCCGCCCCCTCGTCTGTCTCCCCCAATCAGCAGCTAGGATGAGTCGAAGTGACAAACCTCCTAACCAATAGCACCATTCTACTCTTCTCCCTCTCCCGCCTCTGTCTCACGGCTCCTCCAATTAGGAGCTGAGGGGGACGGGTCCTAGCTGCTCTGAGAGGCGGATCTTGCCCCAATCCGCCCAATCAGGCTCTAGGGGAGTGTTGGCTCTCTTCCAATGGGAAGCGAGGACAGGGATTCAAACGGAGTCTGACAGTTCTGAAGACAGGGGCTCGCCCGTTGGGGTCTAACGGCAGCAGGGCTGACGCAGGCGACTCAGCCGGCCTGGGGCAAAGAGAAGGGGGTCGGCCCCTGGGAGGCGCAGTAAGCAGGGGCTGTGGGGGTGGGGCAGCAGGGGGAGCATAGCCTGGGTACCCCGTGGTGGGGGTGGGAGAAGAAGCAGTGGGTCCTGGGTGGTGGCGGCGGGGAAGCGGGGCGAATACAGGGCCCCCACTGGTAGGGGGAAAAGGAGGAGGGGGGAGGAGGACAGGACCCCAGTAGCGGGGGGGGGGGAGAGAGCACAAGGCAGGGGAGGGCAGTGGAAGGGGAGAGCATAAGGCCCCCACTGGTAGGGAGGAGGGGGTGTATAGGGCCTGGAGTGGGGGGGGGGGGACAGGGTTTGGAGAGGGGGGTGTTGGAGCCTGGAAGGGGCAGCAGGGTGGGAAAGGGGAGTCAATCTCCAGGGGAAGGGAGGGGTGCAGGTATAGGGCTGTCCCCTGAGGGAGGGGGCAGTGAGTGTGGGAAGAGCAGCAGAAGGGGCACAGTCCCTGGGGCAAGGATCCTGAGAGAGAGGGAGCTGAAGAAGGGGGGGCTAGGAGCAGCTAAAGGGGCCTGGTGGTCAGTTTGCCCTCAGAGAAGCAAGAAGCACCCTCAGCGCTCTCTGGGAAGAGGGGACAAACCATTTCGGTCCAGAGCCATCATGTCCATTAGTGGTTTCACCTTCAAGGACAGGTGTGTGTCCGTGCTCTGCTGCAGATTCTGCCAGCAGGTGCTGAGCTCGCGGGGGATGAAGGCCGTGCTGCTGGCCAACACAGAGATGGACCTGTACTCCACCGACATCCCACCCACCAGGTAAGTCCTCTTCCTTTACCACCTGCAGGCATCTCAACAGCTGACTAATGTAACAGCAGCCCCCAAAGACCTTAATCAGTAGGAATACCCCATTGTGTTAGGTACCATGCAAACCATTAAGAAGGCCCAGTTCCTACCCCCCCCCCAAGATCTCAATCTACTCCTTATAATTGCATATGGCAGGTAAGCAAGCAAGTATTATTATTTCCATTTTCAGAAACCGGAACTGAGGAACAGTCCAAACACAGAATGGTACTTTAAAAAATACATATATACAAACTCTCTAAATAATAAACAAGACTCCTTTTTTCTCAACTTTAAAATGTGGAATTTTCTTGGTGTTTGACTTTAAATATTTTCCTGTGTCAATCACTGTAGGGTTGTATTTAAGAACCTTCTGGAAAGTAACTAGCTTTTAAACGGAAGTGAAAGTGACTTGAAAGTGTCAGTTTCACTCCTGTTTCAAGTCAATATCTAGACTATTTTTGTTTGTAGTAGGGTAACACCTCCAGACAGGTGCAGTATAAACTTGGGGGGCCTTGCCCCAGACTAGTAGGATGTTTCCAACAGTTAAATGATCTATTCCAAGCTTGGTGGACTGCAAATAAGTAAGTAGTGTAAATGATAGAAAAATCTGGATTACTTTCTACAATTGTTGTTCAAGAGTTAGTAACAAAGTAAGAATATACATTAAAATTATTTTAAATCTAACCCATGTCCCTTAAGTGATTTGCCACAAGATGTCAGAATGTGTTAGTACTAGATCTGGAAATGCATCTCAGCCCTGATCCCCATTCTGCTACTCTACCCTTAAGGCCACACACTCTCCCAGCTAGTGACTTTGATCAGTGGTTCTGAACCAGGGGTATGTGTACCCCTGAGGGTACGCAGAGGTCTTCCAGGGGGTATATCAACTCATCTAGATATTTGCCTGGTTTTACAACAGGCTACATAAAAAGCACTAGCAAAATCAGTACAAACTAGAATTTCATACAGACGATGACTTGTTTATACTGCTTTATATACTATACACTGAAATGTAAGTACAATATTTATATTCCAATTGATTTTATAATTATATGGTAAAAATGACAAAGTAAGCAATGTTTCAGGAGTAGTGTGCTGTGTCACTTTTGTATTTTTATGTCTGATTTTGTAAGCAACTAGTTTTTAAGTGAAGTGAAACTTGGTGGTACGCAAGATAAATCAGACTCCTAAAAGGGGTACAGTAGTCTGGAAAGGTTGAGAGCCACTGAATTAGATGATGGATAATAAGGTTGTTCATTGACATAGCTTGAATGTACGTCCAGCCTGACAAAAATAAATTTACTTCAGTGGCTCTGTAAAAATGTCACTACAATCAAATACAACTACTTTCTCTGTTTCAAGTCAAATTTGTTTATTTTATGGATAAAAACATGTTTTTACTCTTAATGGTGCAGAAACCAATATCAGTCAAGGAAAGCAAGCTGTATTCTGTTTGGCCTCATAGATCAACAGAATTGTTGAGTGCATTAACTGGTGAAGATGAAAGAAGCAGAAAGAACCCAATTTGGCTTTCAGAGTTAAGCAAGGCCAGGAATTAAAGAAAAAAATTCTCTCTTGTTACTTGATCAAAGGGAAGCTGAAATCAGAGGATGAGTAACTATGGGAAAGCCATATTTAAATATTAAATAGTAAATTAAATATTAAGAAAATGTAAATTACAAAGCGTTAATCTGTAAGCATGAGTTAAAAGGAGATAAACTAAGATGGGCTAAAATTAATTAAAAAAAAAACAAAGGTTCATTTTTTAAACATTCTAATCACTAAGCCATTGTTCTGTGGTCTCATTTGAGATTTACAATAGACACCTAGTTCCTGGCACAGATGTTCTAAACTGGTGTAAAATGTCTTTCATACAATGCTAGTTGTCAAATGTGAGTTAAAGCGATCCATGTGGTTACAAATGTAATCCACAGTTTTAGTGTACAATAAAAATGTATTAAACTACAAAAATGAGTTTATGAAAGTCAGTAAACCACATATTCAGTATAAAGTTAAAATAGCGATCTGTGTTTTAGTGACTCAGGAAATGATTTCCTGGTATGTGATTTCCTGATACTATAATCATTGATTTTTTTTTTCATGGCAAATGATGGTTTGGTCAGGGCTGAGTGGTTAGATTTGGAGTAGGAGCTAATGTATTGAGGATCTAAATTATAAGAATAAATCAAAATAGGAAACATGCAGACTCTTAAGTAAACTTATATCTCTGCATACAGGGCAGAAGTTCAACTCTCAGGACTGTTTTTCCCACCCATTAACAGAATGAATGGAAGCACTCATATTGGACATGGAGCACTCAACCCAGTACATACCAAGTTATGTAAACAAATTGCCCCTTTTCTCACAAAGTCTGTACCTATATTACCATTGCTGCTGTTCTAACAGTGGAAATGCTAGTGTAAACCAGTTGTCGGCATTCTACCTACCATCTCATCTAACACGGCTTAAAGCAGGGTCTGCACAACACTACATTTGAAATGCCAGTGGCTGCCTACACTAGTGCTCCAACTGGTGGAAAACTAGGAAAAATTGCAGGGTCAAAGAGAGTTGTAAAATAGGAAAGATCAGTTTGCTTTGAAAATATTAGTTTGTGTCCATTTACAAAAACAGAGCCAATTAAAAATGATGGGGGTTGACAATGCTTACCTATCTAAGGTCTACCATAGGAACCCTATTACAGAAGAGTATTTGACAATATTACTTTGCTCTTAACAGCTTTTCTACAGAGGACATTAAAATCAGACAGCCTCACAGAAGATGGGTTGGGGTGACACCTGCTTTAGATAATACTATCCTACTTTCCAGAAGAAGAAATTGACACACAGATGTTAAGTCTGACAATGGCTTTGTCTGCACTAGGAAACTGACCCAGTGCTAAAGCTGGCTATGTCCATAGTAAGGAACTATAGAAGTAGTTCTTCACCGGAGCTACCACCATTGTAGCTGGGAGTCCTGATGTAGACAAAGTGCTACCAGCCTCTATCATCATCAGGTTTGAAGGTATGTCTGCACAGCAAAAGCTAGCATGGGCTAGTCTGTCCAAGCTAACTTGAATCCAGCAAGCACGGGTAACAACAGAAGTGCAGAAAGCACAGCTCAGGTGTCACAGTGGGCTAGCAAGCCAAGTATGCACTACAAAAGACACACTGAAAGAGTATCTCAAGAAAACTGATGTGGATATCACAAGCTGGGAGAAGCAAGCCACCAACTGACCCCACTAGCGCCACATCCTCCATCAGGCAATAAGTCGCTTTGAGGAGAAGTGCCTTGCCCTTGAACCTGAAAAGAGAGAGAACTTTCTCCCAGCAGGCAGTTGGCCTGACAGGAAATGTCTGTACCTATTACGACGGATCTATGATTCCAGGATTGGACTCCTGAGTCATCTCAGGACCCATATGTAAATACGTGGTAGAGATCATCTTCGAGTCAAGGGATCGCCGATGATGATGTTGATGATGCACCCAAAGTCCATCCCAGACTTGCACTACCCACACAGAAGCCTGGCTGTGGTGTCTTCACTATTATTGTTACCTGGGCTAGCTGGATTTTAGGCTAACCTGTGCACAGCATTTTCTGTGTTAGACACCGTAAGTGAGAATGGTAAAAATGCTGGAAGTTTGTTGCAACCCTACCACTGCTGGAAGCCCTACTGTAAAGAATACTGGTTCCCTGCAGACAAAGATGTAGGGTGTCTGCAACAAGCATATTAAATGGTACTGAAAATGGTTTAACTGCAAGTGCACAGACAGGACTAAATCAAATCACCTACCATTTCTGAAACTGTGTTGAACATAGTTTGAACCTGTTCACCCTTGCAGTT